CACTAAATATAAATAATATTATTAGCTAAAATATCAAGAAAAATTTACCTATTCAGTTATATCATACAAAGTAAAATCTCTTTCGTGTAATCTTCACTCTTTCAGTTAAAATTAAGTATATTTCGTACAAAATTAGTATCACTAATGCCTTTTCTTAGTCTATATTTTAAAGAGATAGTTTCTGTCACTCTAGCATGAAACAGGGGTGCTTGAAGTACTATCTGTTGTTTTAATAATTGTTCTTCTTACAATGTTCGCATTAAAAATTGCATTGATATCTGTACTATTACTATCTTTTATAATTCAGTTCAAATTTTGGGCAAAGATTTTACTAATTTAAAATTTGATACAAGTAGATGAAAAAATTTCAAAATCTTTAAAGTATCTAAGTTGAATCGGTTTAATTAAAAGCTGATGTTAAATTCAAACTAAATAAATCTGACATAGCGCTTCGACCACATTAGGAGTTTAGATAATAATGATATTGAATTCATCGAAAAGGAATCATTCTGTTCAATGACTAATTTGCAGTATCTGTAAGTTTAATATGACTGAAAATCTCTACTAAAGCTTCTTTTATCGCTAATAATTAATGAATTTGGTAAGCTGTAACCTGTTAAAAATTTAAGCCAATTTCATAGTAAAATCTCTGTATTATATATTCTATCTTTAAGAAGACCAGATACAGTAATCAGTTTCATATTAGCCACAACGGGTGCTCTTTCTAAATTTTAAATCTTCCTTGTTTATGATAAAAAAGATCATGACTGTTGTGCTGTGCTTATCCAATTTTATCGCTTTAATTGAAAAAGATTTATTGGAAAACTGCTTCTTTTGCAGAGATATCAATAATAACAAATTATTGAAGCTTTCTAATGGTAGCTTTGCCTGTCTTACTCACCTTAAAGCATTGTAAGAATAGATAACCTAGAGTTATTATTTAAGCAATCACCAGTTTTTTACTCCTCTTAGCATGATTATCAACATCCCAAGATATTACGTTAATGTTACGATTTTTGAAAGCAATAGAATACAATGCTTACATTATATTTGATATAAATGGCTTTTCTATTACTCTATGCAACTATATATACACTCACTATTTCCCATCCATGGCAAAAATATTGATAGTAGATCGCCATTTAAAATACTTACACAATTCAGTTAATGAATCCTTAAATTATCGTCTAGCCTTCTTATAGTATAATAAGCGATTTTTTACATACCATGGTTCAATTTGCTGTACTCATAAATATCAATGAATTATTTTATCTTAGCCAATCATATATTGGAAACCTATTAACAGTGGCTAAAGCAAAGAATGCTTAATTCCAGATAATTTTACATATATATTATGTGACAGCATTTTATACAACTCACTTGCATTTCTTTTAGATCTATCGTAGGTAATAAAATTACTTCTATCGATGAAGACATCTTCAAACCGACAACTGAGCTATTCGAAATGTATGCTTGATAAAGTCTAAAGGCAATATAGAAGTCCAATATAATTTTTTTGGTAGAGGGTTTGATTCTCAAGTGTAATTAGATTTACTGGACGTTAATAAGTTAAAATGAATGCTGTAGTAGGGAAAGGATTCTTCATTTGGTGCAATAATCTCTGCACCATAGAAAATATTTTCAGTAGATCATTATATCAGGCATCATTAGAAAGTGAACTTAGCTGGTAGCAACAATAACCTCCAATCGGATCGATAAACATAAAGCAGTTGTGATTTATATCCTTACAATTAAGAAGACTTGCAAAATTATTTTTAAAAAGTTACAGTATTTATTAATTGAGATACATCTATAACAATAACTTTATCATTATACGCCTTTATTTTTCCATAGACTTCTTTCGGACAATAATATTTCAACCATACAGCCTAGCTTCTTTACCAACCTTAACAACCTGCAAGCATTGTAAGTCTTAAGATGAATACTTATACTTTAATTGAAGGAGCAGTTAATGATCATTGATCGTTACTACATCTATTAAACTTATTTTATAAATCGAAATTATCAAATAGGAATGTAAGTTGGAATGTGCTCATTGCTATGTCTGTCTATAATTATATAGCCTGTCAGCTAACAATATTTAATAATATTTACAGAAGTAAACGTAAATAGTTTTAATATTTATCTCAGAGATCTAATTTCATTAATTAGAGACCTGTCTGGTAATAGAATTCACACTATTAAAAATGGTTCGTTTGCCACATTGTCCAGTCTTATCAGCCTGTAAGTAAATTCCTTTTTTTCTTGAGAATGTCTATAGTGCTGATGTACCATTAGAATTTCAATGCAACCTATACTAATAAAAAACTGCTAAGAATTAATAATTTCTTATCATAAAGCCATGAGAACTAATCATAGTTTCGCTCTACCAAATCTAGATAGTACTAGTAAAACACTATAATATTGCTATGGGTTTCGTAAGTTACCTAACGAGTAGGTAAAGACATATTAAATAGATTGAAGCCAATTTCATACCGGCACATGAACTTGAATAGCGTAATGTAATTCTCGTCCGCTGCTTGGCATAAATAATATTAGAAATTAATTTTTAATCACTATACAACAACGTACTAAGTAAATCAAGATAAAATAAAATTAAGTTCCATCTGCGATACTCTCATATTTTCTCGCTTATTGCAATCGTAGAGGTATAATCATAATAAAATTACAACATAAAGCTTAAGATCAAATTCAAGAGAGAGACTCGTATTATGCTGCATCCATATTTTTATGGCTATCCAAATTTCTCACCTACTCCGCTTCACTGTATTTGAAACTAATTTTTCTATTTATTAATGTACTACACGCTTTTATCCACTAAGATACATTATTTTCAGCCTGTTTACCTTTTGTACAAATAATCAGTTTATAGCTTAGCGTACTAAAATTATGAATGTATTGCTTAACTATATCAGTGCCACAACTACTCTTGTGATACGAGAAAACAATAATCGTACTTCCAGTAAATTTTCCTTTAATCAGCAATACTATCTTCCCGGCGTACGGTACAGTAACTTAAATCTTTGGGAAGTACACACACTTTCGCATAACACAATATTACGAAATTCTTTTCACTTTTTATAGATTACTATCCCATTTATATATACTATCAGTCGTAGTAAACATATTTATTACGCTTTCAGCATATTTTTAATAAAAAATGTTATTATGACTAATTTATCATATACGAACATTTGAAGTAATAAGCTTTTTGATACAAAAGTTTGTTTCGATTACGAGCTATATCAAAATTCTATACTTCTAACACCTACTTGAAACATTCACTATTTCGTCTTAATATCGTAAAGGATTTACTTTATCACCAACTACAATAATTCCTAAAGTTGTGCTTTTATTTTTGAGAAGTTCAAGGTAAAATGTTACCGTAAACTATCAATCTATATCTCAGTTATTTTCATGGCTGTGTCAATCAGTTAGCCTGCATTTAAAAGTGCTAAGAAGACGATATTAAAAATATAGTCATTCTTAGGCCTAGTGTAAGCTGCGAACTTTTAATAGGGGCTTTCGAGATGATGATTATCACCTGTATTTAAGCTTCTAAATTTTGATCAGCTTAGCTTTTCTTCATATATTAATAGTTAGCTAATATACCAGCTTTATTCCGATATTTGCCATCAGATCATGAACGTAACTTGAAAATTTAATCTAAATATTAACTATGAGCACTATAGTTCTCTTGCAGGTAACCAAGTGTACCGGTTACAACGTCACCATGTTAGCAACTTAATAAATCTGATGGAATTGTGAGTAAGCCATTAGAATTTCTTTAAAAATTTCAATAAAAAGGTTATATAGTCCTACTATTAATGTGTGGTAACAATTGAGTATGTGACAGTTATTACAATGAATCCGTTACATAGCAAGATTAATAATGAGTTTACTTTTATTTTAGTCATTTTTTTAAGGCTCTGCAATATTTTTTATTACAAATTTGTAAGATGTGATATCCTGTTATGATCATATGGTTAATGTAAATAAATAATATTATAGTTCATTAGGTCTTTAATGTCGGAACTAATTTGACGTATCTTATCTGCTACGATATAGCCGCGCCTCTGCTAATAAACTAGTTGCGATAGAAAATAATACATTTTGCAGCCTCAAACAGCTACAAATGTTGTAAGTTTTTCGGATTCTATGAGGATGAAATGTTATCAAATTAATATTTCCATCCTTGACTAGATTGACTCTAAAAAATTGCTACCTATGATAATACATAATCTATTCTAATTTGAAAGCTAGTACGAGATGTAACGTTGCTAGTTATCAGATCATATATGAATTGCTATTCTTAGGCATGCTAAGCTTAGGCACCGCACAGACTAAAAACTTTAACGTATGAAATATTCTGCCTAAGTATGCAGGACCATAAACAGGACAGTGTAAAATTACTATTATGGATCTATAAAAAATATCAATCAGTAACGCATACATTTGATCATGATAGTCCCTTTTACTACATACAAATAATGTACGTACTGCATATTAGGGCACGAATATGTAAGCAATTTTAGATGATTTAGTAATTCTTTCGAAGATTTTTCTAGCTTTTGCATACAGCTAGATCAGAGAATAGTATTATATATCTATCATGAACTCCTAATTTCCTACTGATTATATATATTCGTGATCAGTTTTATCTCTATGTCTGACTCAGAAATGAAATAAGTGATGATTAGAACCTATTTGATAAGCGCTACCAAAGCATTATTACACAGAACGTAAAGTAGTCAATTGGATTCAGAATCAAATAAGTCAATAAACTATCTGGTGTGATATTATATTTTGTTATCAGTATTAGCGTTGTAGCATATTTTAGGTCTAGCCGTATATAAAAGTGTCAAACATGACTATTCACTAATTTTTCTTCTGACTACTAGCTAAAGTAAGTTAGCTTATTTAGCGTATTAGGATAAAAAAGAATACATGTGTTTCTTTATAATTTCATTTCTTTTACAATGTGGCCGAATCTAGCTATTAGAATCAACCAAAGGTACAATATAAAAAGATATCCCGATTTATTCTAACAATTAGGGACTTAGACCGCAATAAATTAACACATATTTACCCAGAAACTATTTGCGCCCCTAACTTGCATGCTGTGTAAGTATGAAATAATCGTATAATATCTATTTAAATTACTCATTTATCTTAAGCGCAAAATAAGACATAGCTTGAATCATTTTCTGACTCGAACTTTATAGGCATTTAAGTAGCAATAATATTCGATTCGTCGCAGAAAAATCGTTCCAGAAATTATCTAAAACTAAGACATTGTACGTATACGTATAATAATAAAGTTAGAGTCTCAATGCTACAAATTTATGATTAAAAATTTGAGAGTGTTATTGCGTAAAGTAGTACTTGTTAACCTATTTAAATATCGAAGTTGCTAGATACAGATAAACTACTGCTAGCGTAAACGTAAAGCTTTGAGAATAGTCTTGATGATCAATTACATTAATGAACTAATCCGGATAAATAAATTTGCTACAGATTTCTGAGTAATAATTTGTTATCCCATCTTCCTACTGAACTATTTAAGAAGATGGCAACAACATCAACCTTGTAAGTTAAATATTTTTAGATCGGGTCTAATTCTTGATGAAAGAAGCGAAATCTTCTACGCCAAAATGAAATATCATTAAGCATGCTGCTATGTGGCTCATTTCGTGAAATAGTAGTCAGTAGTAGGTCACTAAGTAAAAGCTGTTTTGTAGGTTATAGTACAGTGTATATCCACTTATTGTGAGTTTTTCAGAGGGTTGGTGCTTATACATTATAATATCAGTACTACATTCTTACTAGATTTTATCTCAGGTTAGATCAGTAATCTGTAATGCAACATAAAGCAAAAACTTTTATGTTAGACTAGTAAACTAGCTTGGTGTACTCCGTGACATGCAATCAGAGAAAGAGAAAATATTTAATCTTCTCATTTTCCAATATTTGATAGTAAAAATAAGATAAAATTGTGAAAATTGCTATTATAAAGTGAAGATTGCTATCTTTTTTATATTGAACAGGAATATCATCAATACCGGATTAAAATCATTAGAAAGCTATCAATTTTCGGGTCTTAGAAGTCTTTTAACTCTGTAATAATTTTATATGTATATCAGTTTCAGGTTCAAAGTCAAGCTTTGCATTAAAGCTCTCTTAGTTAGATTTAAACAGATAAAACTCGGCAATACTAAATGCTTCCGAGCCGATCATAATATATCTTACGTAGGATTAAAAATTAAATTATCTCCTATTTCCCATTCTTAGACGACTAACCTTTAATAACATTTCTGTAATCAACGCTACCGCATTTGAAGACCTTTATAACCTCACTTCTTTGTTAGTAAATGAGAATAATTAATTTAAATATTTTACTTAAAATTATTTACAAGTACCATGAGATCGATAACTGTTTAATGGAAGATTATTAGTAGATTTAACAGTTAGATAATTGACATGGTAAAATTGATCTACAAACAACATTTCCTGCACAGCTATATTATGTATTAACCCTAAAAAACTTTATAGAGTTTCGTTTCCTATTTACTATAATAATGATGATGTAGCTTTAATATAAGTCGTGTAAGTATTAACTTTAATAACTGCATCAAATCTTATTTTGGCTCGAATAGAGATTTAGCAGGTAATAAATTAACACTCTTGGACTCTCTAATCTTTCAACCTTTAATAAAACTTCAGGACTTGTAAGTTAATTTGTTTAAATATTCTACTGATGCAGCTCATAAAATATTTACTTACCTATGATTTTAATCATTATTTGTTATAATTGCTTAATATGTGGCTAAAAATGTGGCTAGAAATCTGAACGAAAATGAACTCCATTCATTAAGTGACTTCCAGTTTAAGCATCTTTCAAATCTAAAGACATTGTAAGCGGCAAGCACGTGCTCAATCTTGGGCAGTTTGCAAAACGACCGACTTCGCATACGGTCACGTTTACGAGAAAAATTTTGTTTTTATCGATTTTTCGCAAGCAATTTAAGCTCAAGTATACAAATGTACTGTAAACTAACTTAGTAGCGTAAAATATGGTAGGATTTCCTACATTACATGATGATATATTGTTATACAAATTCGTATCTATAAGCTTAATTGCTATAGAAGCCTATCAAGTAAAAATGAATACTTAATGCAATTAGCAAATACTATATTCACTAGTACTGTTTCGACAGCCATAATTTTACAATCATCAAATCAGATAATTGCACAGGGCTTTGATAACTAATACTGGCACCTTACTAATTTTTTAAAAATCTAAAATTCGTAATTGAACTTCATATTGCGTTGTGTTAAAGTTAGATATCTGAATGTCAATTAGAATCGAAATAATAATATAACCTAAATTTAATCCATCTAATGATAATGGCAATCAATTGTAATTAACAAATATTAGTTAAGTATGGCATTTTTCGGATTTATAAGTATTATTATGACTGTGTGATAGGCAGCGGTATATTTACATCTGCTTGACTAAATGCTAACTATTTACTATTTATTCGCATTGTAGACGCTTACAGACGAACAAATTGTCTTTTATTGATACTGGCGCATTCTCTGGCATGAATAAATTACAACTATTGTAAGTATAGTATCTTTCCACCTCATTCATTTGATATCCAGATCTCTCTCAATAATAAACTTTATTCAATATTTTAAACGCATTTTCTTTTTATATATTCGCTTATGCCATAAGACGCAAAATGAAAAGTAAACAATATTTGCTTATAATTCTAATTTTACCAGGCAGCTTAGTGGTAATCCTATCAGAAACTTTTATGAATTTCAATTACCAGCTGTGGCATTTATGGATTTCTTGTATGTTACGGTCATCTTATATAATTCCATCTTATGAAGGCATACAAATACAATGATATTTAAGGAATATGATAGGAATTATTATGAGTAATACTAGAGCGTTACAAACTAAACAAAACATTAAACGTTACAGCTATCGCTAATTATGATTGTTTTTACTTTTTCAGAGGACTTTCGAGATCCTACCCACTAAAGCTGCATGGAAACGGTAATTTAGCTAAGGCAAAAAAGAATTCTGTGGTAATAAAAGTCCTGTAAGTAATGCATATGTTCTTTACATTCTACAACTTTGAAATAATGATGTTCTTTACCTTTAACAATATGATAGTAGCAATTATTAGTAAGTATATAAGAGCAAAGCTTTATCAGAATCACGATTAGTATAGAAATAACTTCTGATATCAGACAAACCTCTACTCTACTTTCTTATGATATATTCTTCCATTATTTTATATCTTGCTAATAAGCGGCCATTTAACGGTCATTATTCGAATTTAGGGATTTAACTAATAACTTTCTCTCAAAAATAAATCAATTAGACTTCGGAGACTGCAGAACCCTGTAAGTTTGTATACTTCTGATTTTAATCACGGTTATAATTACTGTTAAATATGAACTGGTAATTACTGTGATAAGCTTTATTTATGTATATGTTACTTTATATATATATATATATAGTACTTCTATTTTAACGATTCTGATGCTAATAAATCATTTTTGGGGAATTTTATTCGCAAAAGTAATCTATCTTATAATAAACTGCATGAAAAAAACACACTCAACTTTTCTACACTAGATCATCTGGTACATCTGTAAGTACAAGTTCATCTATTTACTCAGAAATGCACGAAAAGTACATTTCCTAGATTTTTGTATAATTTCATAAGTTTGTTCTGATTTTACTTACCAAGAGCTGTATTTGTTTTTATGTCAGCGATTTAACTGGTAATCGCTACAGAAATATAGAAAGTGCAGTAAATTTCTTCACTTTGAATAATTACAACTCTGTTTTGTCATTGTAAGTATCGTAAATAATTGGTCTTATTACTAAGACCACAAGACTTCTATTATCGAAATAGACCATTTATTATTTCGATTTAAATCTATTTGGGATGCTATAAATTGATTGCTTAATGCTCTCTCATGCATACATTATTCTTATATTTTGCTCCTGATACAAAAATAATTTTGTTAATTTGCTGCTATATGACGTTACCAAAATCACTCTGATTCTAATACATTCAACAGCAACATAAAATGTATGGATAAAATATAGTGCACAAATTAACAGATGTAATTGTAAGAAATATTAAAAGTTAGATTGATAAAATTATCTGTAGCAATTTGGAACTACCAATGTTCCAAATCTTTAACATTTTAACGTATAGTTCTGATATAAATTCGAATACGGACCAATTAATCAAATCAACACAAAATTAGATTAAAACTAAAAACGTACATGTTCGTCGTCAGTTCTACTTAGACACAAATACTAAAATTAATTGGACACGGTATTTCAAGAAATAAACTCTTTCGGTGCCAAAATTTATAATATTAACGGAATTAGAAAATACAATTTGCTTTAATAATAACTGAAAACGAGGTTTAAAGTTGAAATAAAGTCACCATGATGATTACAACAGGCTGCATAAGTGATAAAATTTAATGCTATTATATTATTAAGAAATCTTTGTAATCCTAGTCAATTCATTTGCTTTAGAAAGACATTTAAAATATTACCTGTACATTTCATTATACCGATATTCTTGTCTAATTAATTGCATTTTAATTTCTATAGAAACGTCTCTTCCAATGCTTTATATAATATTCACCTTGACGCATTAGAACCTTTTGCAAAGTTACAATCGCTGTAAGTTTCAAAGCATACCCTTAAATATCTCATATGTTTCATTAGTTGATTAGTTTATCCACATTAATCCTATCAAAATACTTATTTAATCACTGATTTTAAGGTGCTGTGAAGCATGATCATACTTATTCTTGTGTCCTCTTAATAAAGCAGCTCTATAATAAATTATTTTTTGGTACTATTTTATAGAATGTTGCAATACAACAATTTACAGAAGTTAGATTTTATAAGACCACTATCTCAACTTATTGTTCTGTAAGTATGCGTTTAGAGTTTAAATAATTTATTACCATTTATTAAAATGCGTACAGTAATTCAGGTTCACCTTATTTAGTTTATCAGCTTTCTCTAGCATCAAATAGTTTTAGAAATAGCGTTATTGTTTCAAATAAACAATATTTTAGATGGGCTTACTGCCAAGACTAGTTTAAATATAACTGTTATCACAGTAACAATTGCTCTGTAAGATTTTACACTAAAAACTATATAACAAGATGATAGAAAGTTTGTTAAACTGTATCTTAAAGGCATTTTGATTGCTTCATAAGGATAATTGCATTAATCTTTTGTTCATTGAGAATAAAAACAAAATTCAATACGAGATAATGTGCAAATCTTAATCATTTAAATTTTAAAATATATAATTCTCATTTAAAATCTAGGTCTCTAACATCTAATAGCATTAAAGCAATAAATGTTAAAGATTTTGCTAAGCTAGCAAGTCTCAAAGAATTGTAAGCAACAATTAACAGTAAAAGATACTGATTATTTATTTCCAGTTTATCTTGCAATCTCTACTCGAATTTCTAGAAATTAAAAATTAAACGTAATACAGATATGCAACCCCCATTGAATTCTTTAAGTTCATTCTGTTTATGATAGACACTTATGCGGATATTATTTATCTAATTGATTTGATATTCTCTTAAGGTATCTCGACCATAACGAAATAGGAACTTTGAACGAAAATTATTTCATGAATACAAAGTTGAACTCTTTGTAAATCTAATATATACTGTATTGTTATAATAGCAAGATGTCAATAATCACTTTATCAAAGTATTCTAATATCATTTAAAATTAAATTATGCTTTAGATATCTACAACACAATCAAATATCTGATGTAAATGCTGTCTTGAAAGGATTGAAAAACATACGAATAATGTAAGATATATTTATTACATCATTCATAGCAAAAATAAGCTTTTTGGGTATTCGTAAAATATTCAATTTGTTTTAGTGAGATTTTGAACTAATTATCTAATCTAAGGTTTTTAAAAATATTTTTCAATCTTGTGTTAATGCATTTTGCCATGAAAGAAACTTAAATTCTAATCGCATCGAAGACGTAGCCAAAATTTCCAATACACGACTACCCTACCTAGCTCAACTGTAGGCAATCGTATCAATAATCTGTTGTAGCTATTTAAATATCATGAAAAAATTAACTTGCAAAATTTAAGACTTTACAGGCTGATTGACATTACAATTGAGCTATGAAATCTAGCCAAATTAATTGTTCTAACTCTAATTACAGATATTTAAGTGATAATACTATTGAAACGTTGAAAAACAAGTCGTTTACGCTTTACCAAAATTTAAGAATTCTGTAAGCAGAAGAGTTTTGTTACATACGGATACATGGATTAACTAAATTTAGAAGCTTTTTCAAATCGTAATAATTTTCCAGTGACCTAAGCAACAATGCTGTAACCTTATCTGATCAAGAAGATCTGGGTTTGACATTCTTAGAAGAGCTGTAAGTGGATTATGGAGGATAACATCTGTACTCTCTATATATTTTAATAAATATGTCATCTCATTCATACTATTTCTGTTTGCAGTATACACTAAATTATACCTAAAATATTCCGAAATACGATTAATTTGATAACCTTGTAAACTGGTCTATCTACTCTATTCAAACTTCTATTAACTTCGGAATATGTTCTTGTAAAGTAAATTAGTATTTTAATTGTAGACTATTAGCCATGTTTACTACGATGTACGGTAGTGTCTTTTCTATATTTATCTTATGATGTATTTAGTAGCCCATAATTATTGACTCTAAGGATAGACTCTATGCTAGAGTACAGATGACTATATACAGTAAGATTTTGAGCAAATAATAAGGTTAGAGGTAGAAATAGAATTGTAAATTATACATTTGGATATACTTAGTGCATTTTACTTTGAGTGGTAGGAATAATGTCAACGAAAATACTGTAATCATTTCTATATTGGATTAATGATGATTAGCTATAAAATATTGTAACTAATAATAAAGCTAAATGTGTATAAAATATGGTAGAATGCTGCTATGCTGATTGCAGCAGCAAATACTACAGAGACCACAAAAGCAGGCGACATTAGATAATAAATATTAATTAGCAAGTATGAATAATTATAACACCTCCACATCTCATGTTCACCATTGTTATTTACTACCATGCTAATCAATATTATGAAGATATAGCTTAGCTCAAGACGTAAATAATAATAATTATCTAACATTTAGAGTTATTGTCGGTTAAAAGGTATGACACGTAACAATCATTAATGATCGATATTTTTGATCACACAACTCTAGCAATAACTTATTTCTAAAAATTAGAACGATAAGCAGAACTCTGTGTCACCTTAATTTCGCAGAAAGAGATAAACGACACGTCTCACTGAATCTAACAGTAATTTTTACGACATCTTTTTATCTATAGAGAGTATTGATTTTAGCACAACATGAATAATAGATCTATCAAGGAGTCGATAACTGATTTTTTTCTTATATTTTTATTGGTGATTTAATAAGCTATCAAAATCTTTGCTTTAGTTATTAACTGCATCTCATTATCAATATTTCTATATTTGTACATACCGAAAACTTTCAGTTACATATTATTTGAGTTTTAATACTAAAGTTGATTGTGACTTAACTTAAATATATAGGAAGCTACCATTTTAGTAATTTCGTTTTAAAAATTTAGTTTTATTTTAATTTCAGTAATTTGGCAGGAAACGAAATCACATACTTGAATTGTTCGGGATTACCTCCAGTACTCAGATCTCTGTAAGTATTGCATTTTCCTGAAGATTTCTTCAATTATACGCTTAATTACTGGTTTTATTATGTTCCGTGAAAATTTTACTAGTAATAGACTAGTTACTTATTAACTTACTTATTTTTGCTGTCTTTAATTAAATAAGAACTTTAGCAAACAACAATATAGTAAAGATCGATCCTAACTGTGATCGTCTATTCTATCAAGTTACTAAAATGTAAGTAGCTAATAAATTTGATAACTAAGCCACACACAATAACCTGTTTAATATATTTGAAACTAAGTTATCATTTATTATATTTATCTACCAGTGATATGAGCTATACGAATCTGATTGCAAACGGAATAGACTTACAGAAAGATTTTCTTGATAAATTAAACTTAGTAAATGACTTGTAAGTTATATTGACCTGTTTCGTTAATAACAGGATTTTTATTCCAATCTACTATATTATTTAGCAGTGCATCACCTCAGAATATCGTATCTGTAGTGACAGCACGAGGCCCAATTGAATAACATTATACTAAATATCCTTTCGACTACCTTTATAGAAAATTGGCGGGCAATAATTGGCCCGGAATTCTTGAAGGAATGGCAGCTATCATTAACTTAAAATTGTAAGCTTAAATAAACCTATGCCGGCTTAAATGCGTACTAACTATTACATCTTTCTAATTTAAATGATAAGAATTTTAGAAAGGATTTGCCATTGTCTCAATATATGTGTTCTAACTTTTAGGGATATAAGTGATAATCCTGTGATATTAGATACCTTTATAAGAGATTTATACGACCGTGTTGGGCAATTCCTGATTGGAATGTAAGAAGATGACATTTGATGAGTATATTTTATAGCTTTTAAGATAATGTTAACTGATTGTACAAAAATTCAATGTAGAAGAAAACATAGTAGCTAAGTAGAAAAATATTCAGATAATTGAAGCATTGTTACAAAACAGCTTTGTAACAAGATAACGTAATGCACGACTAATCTGTCGATTCCCTGAACCACGAGTCAGAGAGCAATGTCTACTCTTTCAGGGACACTTTTCGTATACTAGTAGACTTAAAATAGACTAAGACGCCTCATACCTTACGTTAAAAACTAATTATGAGAACTAACTTTGTTATACGATTAATCGCATTCATATACTCTTTTACAATAGCAAAGATATCCTAGTTAGTTATATTAACGTTGAAACCTGATAATGAATCAAAAGCTAATTTTATCTACTGCTGCCTAATGAAGACAACAGTATTTACGAACATAGACATCAAATGACTAATACAAAATTGTCAGAATACAATATATCCTATCACGGAACATTTCTACGATAATCTACAATCTACCATAAGTCAATTACAATCATAGTGATTTGAATTGTAAGAAGATTATTCTCGATTCCCTAATTTAACTACTAATTTCAGTAGGATGTTGTCACGGTACGAACTACCGTGAAGAAATAGATATCTAAATTTGGTTAATATGATATAGTGACATTATATTACAACTAGTTACTTACAATAGGAATTACTCTAATTATAAATGTGCTACAGTAAATTTATTGCTGTGCTGTAATGTGTGCTGAAATGATTCTGTGAATGGACATATTGTAGTCCGACTGTGAAAAACTAGTTAGTAGATGTTCTCACCCAGGTATTTTTATAAGATGACTTGTGAATGTTAGCTGCTGTAGAAGGGTATATAAGCCCGTCAGATAGTTGAATAAAGCAGTTCTCAATTGTATAGTTGTTTTAACGTAGAATCAAAGGCGTCTAAATTCTTGTGAGTAGTAGGATACTGAATCTCGGAGACTATAGTAATTTAGAGATTTGTTTTACGTTATTCTTGTCACGAAGCTGGTTTGTGACAGATGTATATATCTTCGTAAAAGCTAGAGCTATATTTAAATATCACATATCTAAATTAGAAACATTTCATATAAGGGTAAATCAACAAAATTATCCTAACATAGGTGTTTCTACTATAATCTCGATATTACAGTGTATAACACTGTAACAAGCATGAACGGTATTTCATCCCTTGCACCAGTAAGCTCTACATAATAATAATCTGGCTATCATTACATAGAGTTTTCTGGTATGAGGATTAATAGTTATTGTGAATAACCGTATAATTTCACTCTGTAGAAGTATCAAATTACCTAAAAACAATAATGGTATGGTACAGTGCAGCAATAAAATACATAACTAGTTCTGATTTTAATTTAACAATTATTTACAGTCAATTAAATAAATGCAATATTTCAACTATTCCAACACAAGGCCTTCACGTTTGACGATCTTAGAGTTTTGTAAGTATAGTGCTAATGATAGATCATAGGATAAGCTATTGCAATATATTGATCTCGCTATTAAATACAGACTCAATTAAAATAAGTGCTATTGAGTAAGATCTTGTATTTAAAAATATGCCGCAGATTATCTACCGTTTGATGTTTTGCGCTTATCTAATAACAGATCATTAAATGACAACAATCTACGTGAATTTGACATGTTCGATGTCTCTGGCAAGGATTTAAATGTGCTAACTGAATTGTAAGATAATTTGGTTGCCATTTTTCCTTAATCTAATACTGAACACGTTCTTTACGATATTTCTATTTTTTTCAAATTAGATACATTTATTATTATATATACATGCTGATATTAGTAGACATGATGTTATAATTATCTCATGTTCTTAAAGTGATACAAGCTAGAAAGATATATACAGTATAGTAGAAAAGTAGTTACAATTATACCGTAAGTTAGATGAGTACACAAAATTTGATATTAATATGTAATTGACTATAACTCTTAATATGGTTGCTTGAGACTTTACTATGTGAGATAGCATAGCGATATATCATAGCCCTTAATTTATCTAGTGAAGTTCACATATCTTAATGATATTTTACGTTTATTAGTGGAAACATATAGACAGAGGTTAATAAATAAAAGAATTAATGTTTACCAGCTACCCTCGGGGTGACTATCGTGAGATAATAACATAGATAAGTAACATAGACTTCAATATTTTTGAATAATTTCTGACCTGTAATATTTACGCTATGAATCAGAAGCCTCTTTCAACTAAGCTCAGTCAATATTTAGTTAAAGCTATTCCATACGTAGTTTATTTTATATAGATATATATACATACACCGTATAACGTAACTGATGCAGACAATTAACTAAAGTTTCCTCAATTCCCACTTTAAGAGTATATAGAATTATAGATTTGTTTCTCAAAGTCAATGATATTCTAATATTTATTGCAGAAGCGTTGCAAATAACAAATTAAAAGGGATCAAATCTACGCTTTTAACTCGATACGTATACCTGAAAAAGCTGTAAGTGCATTAGTAGAGTAATTTAAAATTGATTACACCAGAGATATTAAATAACATACTAAACCTGTTAATTGCTAGTAGCAAGATTACAAAATTATAGTTCAACCATATTTAATTTATTAATAATAATCAATCTATCATTGTCTATTCGTGCACCTTTATGAATCAGAAATATTTCCGGTAATCAAATCGTGGGAATATGTGGTGCAAATCTAGACATTGTTGAACTATTTCCCAATATAAGAGAAATGTGAGTCAATAATTATCGGTCTCGCTTTTCATAAGATTAGATGTAACATATGCCACTAAGAAGATGTTATACAATTGTACACTGATTATGAAGTGATGCAAGTGGAAATAATATTGAAAAACTCAAGGAAAGATGCTTTAAAGGATTATCAAATTTGCAAAAATTGTATGTAAGAGTAGATTAATAAAATTTACTATAGCTTTTAAATACGCATTATCTCCCTTACCTATACGAAAATGTGATTAAACTTGCATCTATACTTTGGTGCATATATAAGTACGGTCTATGTTATAAATTGAATTTTATTAATTTTTTACTTCTTGCAGAATTACAGAACAATTAGCATTAACTACGTAAAATCAGTTTATCTCTCCTTTGTTGATTTAGTTTATTCCATATTAATCTTTTAACCTCCTTTAAATGCAAGATTTGCTCGTACATGCAATGCATTTTAGTTAAGTGATCCGACTTTTTATTACCCTAAGCAAGAAATGACTAAATTTCCAACGATGAATACTACTTTAGCGTCAGTTAAAAAAGTACGGTGAAAATTTACTGTTTCATTATCAGGGATTAGAATCTCAGTTTGATTTTGCTTGTTTCTGATAATATGCTACTGCAAATGGTGATTACTTTCATTAGTACATATGCTATTTGCCTTTTAATTCTTCATACTACTAAGTATTACAATTACGGCATCTTATTATCTGCTGCACATTCTTTAGAGATCTACGAATGAATTTATTAGCTTATATATCTCGAGAATCTTTTTTCGGTCCGCCTCAGTTGGTAGAAACGTAAGTCAATTCAGTAGTATTTTATCAGCTATTCTACTTTCCGTCTGCATATTTGCATTATTTTATGACTCGAATTCACTATTTTTTCTGTCTCCCTGTAAAATATATTAATAGGTTAACAAACCGTCCTTACTTTTGCTGCATGATACCTGCTAAAATTGTAACCTGTGAGCCATCGATGATGTCCGATACTTTATCATCTTGCCGACATCTTCTTGCTCATATTTCATTACAATCTTTTGTCTGGGTTGTTGGCTGTCTGGCGTTTTTCGGTAACATTATGGTTATGTTATATAATCATTACACAAAAGATACACTTGGAAAAGCTTATATTCTCTTAATCAACAATCTTGCTGTATCCGATTTTATCATGTCAATTTATTTATTCATCATAGCTTTTGCTAATTCAGTATATAGCAGTCAAGATCAGTACGGCCAACGATCTGAGGATTGGCTGGAAAATCCTTTATGTATACTATCTTGTATTTTAGTGACTACCTCAAGTTTAGTGTCAGTATTTTTAATGGTGATTATCAGCATTGATAGGTTTATCATTATCATCTATTCGAACAAAAGAAAACAATTGAGCATGGCTGCTACTCGAGCAATAACAAGTTCAACATGGCTAGCAAGCTTCTTATTTGTCCTTATCCCCGCGCTATACAGTATCAA